GATATGAACGATACTGTACATACGTAAATATATCACTGAGCACCCGAAATGTGTAGTTATGCGGTGATTTTTTTTAATTTCCAATGGTTTTCATTTTAAATATTTTTCGTTAAGTTTTTTATCTATGAACTATGTCTCATACTTCATTCTTCTTCTTCTTTATTGGCGCTGTAACCGCTTAAGCGATTTTGGCGGAGTCCAAAACAGCACGCCAGTCATTTCTCTTGTATGCTAACTGACGCCAATTGGAAATGCCAAGTGAAGCCAAGTCCTTCTCCACCTGGTCTTTCCAACGCAGAGGAGGCCTTCCTCTGTTGCCTGCATCGCGGCCCGCGTTGAATATTTTCAGAGCAGGAGCGTTTCTGAGCATTCGAACGACATGGCCAAGCCAGCGGAGCCGCTGAATTTTAATTCGCTGCACTATGTCTATATCGTGGTAAAGCTCATACAGCTCATCGTTAAATCGTCTGCGATATTCGCCATCACCAACGCGTAAAGGTCATCAGATGCTTTCATTGTCCATGCCTCCGCGCCATACACCAGCACAGGCATGATGAGTGACTTATGGAGTGGGATCTTTGTACGACGAGAGAGGACTTTACTTCTCAATTGCCTACTCAGCCCAAAGTAGCACAGTAGCAAAGTCATACCTCATAAACCATTTAAATTCAAATTCCTAACTGTGCTGCCAACTTCACAGAACTCTAAAAAACTGTCTTCAAATCTCAAACTTTTAACCATCGATTTTTTATAAATATTTCGAGTATTCTGTTTTGTAGCCCATACAATTTTAGTGTAGTAAACTGTAATCTTGCATCTTAAACGAAAATATTTAAATAAGAGAATACCTTCAAGTAGTGCGTAGAAAGAGTTATAAAAAATCAGCGCGATTAATTATTCTAAAATTGAATGGACTATAGAACTGCATATTTATAAACTCTGATTTAAAATATTGAAGTTTTTATAACAGTTTCTAGAATTCTACTAAATTTCCAACACAGTTAGAAACGTGAATTTATTTGTTTATGTTATAATACTTATGAGCCATCCTTAAATAAAACATTTACGAAAAATATCTAGCATGAAAACCATTGTGAATATTCAAAATTCTATATATTCTTAATTCGATGCCGGAGAGTCTATGTATTACGTTTCAATAAATTTAATACAATTTAACGCTGAGTTATCACAAATAAGCATTCAGTATATCACCGTTTTTCTCATTTTTTTAAACGACTTAGTTTGGATTTTTAATTATAAGTATCCCAGAAATACCCATTATACGTAACAAATATACATAAATTATTTTTAAGAATAACGGGTTTAGAAAATGAAGGAATAACTGACATTTTATGTTCCTAATTTTAAAGCACAGTATGCCTGAAAAAGTAAATTATTGCGCAAAATAGATAGCTATTTAAACATTTTTTTATTTACAAAATTGTATGCGTGCTTATTTAAATAAAAGGCTCTATACTATACTTCTTAGAACCAGCTCTAAAATAACCGAATTTTTCCTAGCTCGGAGGTAACCCTTTTTGAACTGTCTCAGAGCCATCTAAGCCAGAGTCAGCTCAGAACAAGTTCAAGAGTTCTGCAGAGGGCGACAATTGTCACTTCGTAGGACATCGCCATGTTAAAAAAAGACAGTTGAAAGCATTGAGTTGGGATAGATGAAGAACCAGTACCGTCTCTTTTCGGGCTAGCTCAGCGCAAGTTCTAAACCAGTTTGATTTACTGCAGGGTGACTAATATGTGAAACATATACCTATTCAGACTGGAGATGGGCGCGTGAGTTATTTTGGCTCACGTTCACGCACGCTCACGTTGATGGTTTTGTAAATCACGCACACTCACGTCCTGCTATATTTTTTTCAATCACGTTCACGCACGCTCACGACGCCTACTTTTTCAATCACGCACGCTCACGCACGGTTTCTCACGGACATTTTTTTCAAATTGAAACTTTATTTATATAAATAGCATTTCATATAAATAGACTTTTATCACACAAGTACGGTTGCCAGACGTACTGATTTTATCAGTACAGTACTGATTTTTCAACTCTTGTACTGATTTTATTCATTCATTCAATAAGTACGCTAATGTCCTGATTTTTCAAAATTTGTACTGATTTATATTGAATTTTCAATTAAAACAAAACACTTTAGGATTTTCTTAAGGTTGGAGCTTCCGTAAACGTAGCAATTGCGATAATACGATGGAATATAAATTATTTCAAAAGAGGACTGACGTTTTTTGTCGAGTGTTCTTAGTTATCTCGAAAATAATTTTCAGTTTCATTTATTCCATATCCATATTGAGTCTCTTATACTCGCCTTTTGTCCAACATAAGGCCTTATACTCAAAAATCTAATAGACTCTGAACTGGTGACTAGGACGCCCATTCATTCGACCAACCCTATACAGTTTTTCTTTTTTTTTTTATACAAAGCCTAAGAAAAAATACATCTGAAAAAGTCTTGCGTGCCAAGCAAATTTTTCTCTCAAAGTTTACGGTGCTGGCAAATGTAAATAAGGATTAAAATTTAAAAACTAATTAATACAACTAAAGAAAAATCTGTGGAAAATTAACAATAAAATACTTTTTCGCAAAATCTATAAAGGACCCTTTTATTTCTCAAAAAGCCTGGCAAACAGTTATTCGTCGCCACGCTGTAATACAAAAAATTTTAATAATGGCTTTTGCCTAAAACTTACAATTCTGTTTTCTCAATTTACTGACATAATAAAATAGTTTTGCATATAAGACATAGAGTTAGATACTCTTTTTAGCGCATTCTTAGTCTTTCAAAGCTTTTGCATTCTTGAAACCATTAATTTAAGCCATGAGGAAATACAGATGAAGTCCTTAAATAATGGTACTTTTCAACAGTTTGAAAAAATATGTAATTTTGTCTTTTTCAATACCACACTCAAACGAAGCAACTCAGAGGATCTTAAGTATAAAGTGTGTTTCCTGGCGCAAAGAGAGAAACCGGCTGCTAATTAAAATTTTTGAAAGTGAACTTCAAATTAAAAGTAATTTTAAAATGAGAAATACAGAATTCTTTGACTATATAAAGACTGAAAATTTAAATGATATCATTATCGCTATTCAAAAATGTCATAAATGTAAAATAATTTATTGGCTTTTAACACGCATGTTAACACTTTTATTTTTTATGAACTATATTTTATTTATATACGAAAATATTAAGGTTATTCACACTTTCCTGGTTATCTAGTTATATTTTTTATACAGTTTACAACTACAAAATACGCTACACGGAACCAAAAACTTACATAATATATATGAATTTGTGCATAAGACGCGTGAAAATAATCATAAATATTGAACCAATGTACGACTTCATGCGTCGTATGTATCTTTTCATAAAATTTATGAACAGAGTTCTTAAACCATATCCACAAACCGAAATATAAAAACCATGAACTATAACCATAAAAGTTATGAATGCATTCATAATATTCGTGAGCTGTATTCACTACTTTTATAGGCGCTCCCATAAATTTTATGTACACATTCGTAAACTTTGTGAACAATATTCATGAACTTTATGAACATATTTATAGATTTTATGAACACATTCATAAACTTTTTGAAAGCATTCATAATATCTACGAAGTACGTTCATAGGCTTTGTGAACAGTGCACACAAACTTCATGAACAATATTTATAACCCTATGAAAAGTATTAATTACCTTTACGAACGATATCCACAAGTTTTATGAATAATATTCACGTAATTTATGAACAATATTCATACACTTTATGAATAATTTTCATAAAAATTGTATCTCAAAATTTCCTTAGAAAAATAATTAATCTGTATATATTAAATTATTTTTTATTTATGCGAACAAGTAACATATATATATGTACATTTTTATAATTCATTGATATCAACAGAAATAATGAGATAAAATATAAATATAAGCACCATGGGCGTAGCCAGGTAGGGGCAGGGGGTGCTCGAGCCCCCCCAAACTTTCAAATTTTCCTTGTATATATATAAAATAGTACCCTGAAATGCCAGCTTAATAGGGTCGAGGCCCCNCCCCCCCCTAACTTTCAAATTTTCCTTGTATATATATAAAATAGTACCCTGAAATGCCAGCTTAATAGGGTCGAGGCCCCCCTAAATTTCATTCTGGCTACGCCGATGATAAGTACATACATACATACACTTCCGATCAGCTAATTACGCCTTTGTTTATTTTTTATTATTTTTTCATAAAAGTCTAAAAATTGTTGTTTTTACAAAAATTTTTATAATTCATTGGTAGAATTCGTATTAACAGAAATAATAAAATAAAATATTATGCATACATTTCCTTTGCGGACATTAATTGAATTCATTTGAGGTTTGGCTAAAATATTAGTCAAAACCGTCAAGTAAAATTGAGGGCAGATTCAAACCGTATTCTATATCGAGCAGATGCCGAAATAGAAAATTATTACCAATCTAATCAACTATCGCTGATGATGTAAAGAAAAAAGGTTTGTCCATTAAATTCGCTATCACTAACAAAAATAATGCTTTAAAAGAATCTATATACTTATATGAATAAATAAGGCATTTTGTACTGATAAGGTAACTCCAATTTCCAATCAGAGCTCTGGAAGCCTTTTTATCATTTAGGTATTTAATTACAAAATTGTATCACGGTTTTATCACAACTTCAATTAAAAACCTTCATTAAATTAGGATGACACGGTTGTTTTGTATTTACATACATGCATACATATCGAGCCCTAACCGCCAAAACAACGTAAGCGACATTTTTTTCAAAATTTTTTTTTTGATGCAGAAATATTCCTAGAGCATTTAGATGCATTTCTGTCGGATAGGGCTCGATATGTATAGAAATTCATGAAAATTTTAATTATTATTTTTTTTTAATATACATAAGTCTGATTTTTTTTATAAATAAATATGAAAACTTTTTATATGCAATAAATGTATAGCTTATGTACACACACTTGTGGTCAGCTTAATTAAGTTAGGTGCTTGTTATACAATGCGCTAGACTTTTATAAAAAAATAATAAAAAAAAAGAAAAATAGCTAGTTCCTATGTAACTAACTTAATTATCTGACCAAAAGTGTACATTAAATTAGGAGTCTTCTTCAAGTTCTTGCATCAGAATATTTATTTTCAAAGTTTTTTTTCCTTGAGGTAATGCTAGTTTGTAAAAGTAAGCTTCAATAAATGTCCAAAATGTTGTGGAAGCTTTAGGGTACTCCACATTAAATAAATAAAAGGATTTGAAACATATATCCATACAGCGTAAAAAGCTTTGGAATGGAATTTTTGTACCATCTAAATATAAAAAAAAATTCAGTGAATTTTGAGTAATTGTTGTCTCCTACCGACAGGATAAAAGGCTGTATGTTTTCTTTACGTTGGCTTAAAAAATTAATGTGATCATCTAGGTTTTGAAGACTTTGTCCGACAAAAGCATACGATTCCTGAGAGTCCTTTATGGTGAATCTGATTGTACATCTTTTCCCAGTATTATCCTTTTTCATAACGTGTCCTGTAGGGTAAAGATATCCATGTAGGCACCAAAAAGTCTTAAAAGCAAAGGACGTTTCATCTAAAAAAATAGAGCAAAAATGTATGTATATTAGAAAATTTTGTTACCCTTAGAGAAAATTCTTAAAGTACAACTTACGAAATCATACCTTTTTCTAAATCCCCTTCAGACATAGAGCTGATAATGATTTTTGTGGCACCGTCCTTTAAGCACTCACTTCTCTTAAGATGTAAAAAGCTTCAAGCTTTAAGATGTAAAGAGCTTCAAAACTTTTTGCTTCCAGTCAACAAGAAAATTATCATGATTGGGAAAAATCGTACCAAAGTCTAGATCAATCTGAAAACATCGAAAGTGTTAGTTTTTATAATATCTCAAATAGGGAACCTTAAATCAAAATCTTACCAATCGATATCCGTTCGGCTTTTTATACTCTGGCCAGTCTACGAAAACTTGTTGAATGCTATTAAATTTTTCCTTTATTTGATGAATTCTATAATTTGCACTGGCCTGCCAGCAGCTTTCGAATTCTTCTGCTGTCAAATTGTCGTATTTAAGATGCTGTATGATTTCTTCTGCATGATCATCGCGAGCTGAAAATGTACATATTCATAAATTTTATAAACTTGTAACGAACAAACTAGTTTTTAATTTTATTTACCAATTTTATCAGCTTTGGTATTTTCTTCAGGTACAGGAATTATAGACAAACGGTTTTTGAAGCTTTTTTTTAAGTAGCAATATTTGGTATACAGTTTCTCTCTTTTCGGTTCTGTAGAAGTTCAGCTTTTCATTTGGAAAAAGGCTTAGGATTTCATTCTCCAGGTAGTAGATTACTTGAAGTGACATGTGAATGTTTTTGGCAATGTAGTAGGTTACAATTATATTGATGAGTACATTTCTATGAGCGTCGTCAAGTCTGTTGTTACATTTATAAAAATCTTTTACATGTAACGACTTAATATCTGCGTGTAAAATTGTTGCAACAAAAGCGTTTTCCTCGAAATCTTGCGAATTGGAACCAGTGGTAGGGCTGGAAGCAGGCGATCTAGATCTTACTGGGAAAAATCAGCGGAGCAACTAGGCGACGCAGTGCTAACGGAAGCGTGAAAGTGCAGAGGTTTATTAATCTGGTTTCTCCAGTTTTCGAAGTTGAATTCAAATAAGATTCGGTCACCAATTTTGAAAGTTTGCAAAATCTCTTTCAAGTGGTCAAACTTCAAAATTTTCAATATCTTCACGTCGATATTTTCCTCTGAAAAACAGAAAAAAATCATTACTTTTAAAAATTAAAAATTTAATAAAAACTAGGTTGTTCATAAATAGAAACAAATATGCATACAAACCCTTAAGACATGTGTACATGTGTTCAACATTCCAAGATCTTAGTAATATTTTTAATTCATCGTCTTCAAGGATTTCCTGCTGGTTTTGTAATAAAGGTGAATCATCAGCGATACTAATGATTGCGGGAAACAAATCATTAATAACTAAAGACATTATCGAGGAATTTGGTTCTTTATAAAAAATGTAGTTATCTGTTCGTTGGGAAACAGTTCTCCTTTAACTGTATAAAAAATACTCCTCTGGATGATTTAACCAATGTCGCTGGTGGTCCAACTATTTCTGAAATGGATAAAGCAAAATATTCTCCCAATAACTTTGGATCGATTTCGAAAGCTCTGTAGTTTTTATTATACAATATATTTCGAATTTTTTGACAAAACAAATAAATTTTTGCTTCGTACAATATTATTGTTTTTATAACATAAATGTTGTAATCTTTCGAGCAAGTACCAACATAAAAACCCTCTTTATAGATAAGATTGTTGTGTGAAACACTTTTATATAATCTTAAGTTCTCTTCGGCTATGTTGGTAACAAGGCTTATTATTCTTTTGAAACCATCTGAGGAGTTGTCAACTTTTAAATTATAAAATGTTTTATTTTCATTAAAACCATTTAAAAGATAGGACGCAAACGAGTACTGATATTTTTTTACAACCGAAAAACAAATACTTTTTCTGGATGTGATTGCATGCGTATATAATTTGAATTGTCTATGCTTAGCTTCAAAGGGGAAACTCCAAAATTTTCTGACAGGACCGCACGACTTCATGACAGTTGTGTAGTGTAACAAAATATGAAATTTTGGTTTCAACGTCTGGTCAAAAAGACTATTGAAATTTTTATTATGCAATTCAATTTTATCTTTGAGAGAAGTAAGATAAAACTCAGTTATTTCGAAAACCAAAATATCATCAATTATTTCGTTCAACAATAAAACAAATTGCCAGACTTCGTCGTCTGATGGAACTAAATCGCCAACCATTAATGGGAAATGCTTGACAAATGACAACATTTCTGCAGCGGAAAATTTCAAATGCATTTTCTTTAAATGTTGCACTTTTATTTCAGGAGGTATATTTTTGCATTCCATTTCCCCATAGTCAAAAGATTTGATTCTTTTGTTTAACGTAGATAAGTTAAAAAAACTTCATTTTTTGTGTAAAATGGGTTATAGCACAGCACAAGTCGTAATGGCATACACCTTCCATTATGTCATGCATTGCATCAACTGCTAAGTTATCCACTACGTGAAATGATGGAATTTTATTAAAAACACATCGCTCTACGATACCGTTTTCGTTGTTATTAACATCTTCCAAATACGTGGCGCGACTTCTTTGAAGGTCAAGCCGCTCTAAACAAAGTTCTTTGGTTAAGGGCGCAGTTGCTGTGCAAAACCGACAAAAGGTGCCTTTAAAGGATTTATTGAAGCCCAAAACAGAGTTGAGTCCCAAGTTATCGCCTAAAACAAGAACTGGAATAAAATGAGGCTTATATACTTGCCCGTTTGACAAATTTACTTCAATACCTTCCTTTTCAAGCACAACTAAGTGATCTACAAAATTTTCCAAACAATTTTTATTGCCATATTGCTTTACGTATTTGCTTTTAGTAACTGCTGCAAGAAAAATACTATTTCGCTTTGTCTCGCCAAAAGGATGACATGGAAATGAATAGTAAAAGTGACACAAGGAATGTTTTCCAGCGTGAGATCCAAGTGGATTATTTATTTCAATATCGTCCGTGTACAAAAAATATGGAATCAACAATTTACCCGGATATAAACTACATTTACTTCGCCACAAATCGCCTTGGCAAATATTTGTAAAATTGTGTGAAGCTTGGAGCTCCTCCATATGGCGCATCATTGCCAAAAGCAAGTCATCTTTTTCTAAAATAGCTTTAAAAGAATGTGACAATGGCATTATTGCCATTTTCGATAGCTTTTCACCAGACGTAAGCACACCTTTCTTTAAAACAAAGTCTGGCTCCCTATTGATCACAATTTCATTTAAGATGGTGGTGTATCCTTTAGCTGCCAGTGTTTTTGCAAGAATATATTCCGATTTTATTGACTCAGTGATCCTTGACCATGAATTTATGATGCCCAAAAATTCAGATCTCAAGTCAAAATTGTGTCCAATTTTTGCTTCAACGAATCCTTTTAAAATATCCAAAATTGGATTCATTATCATATTTTTAACCATATTTGTTACATCCGTCGCGTCTTTTCTTGAAAAGTTGCTACGTCCATGCAAGGACGATGAAAATTGCAATACACTGACGTGAAGGTCTTTTAACTTTTTGTCAACACTAAAATCTTCAGCTGAGACAATTTGCTGCGTGAAGGAAGTTGGTGGCGCACCGGCAGCTGTCGCAATATCTTCACTCTTTAAACCACTTGGAGCACTACTGCACCCTCTTGCAGGTTGTGACCACAATTCGTTGCTCGAATGCCTTTTCAGATGTCTTTTTAAAATGTTTATTCCACTGAAAACTTGGTCACAAAATTGGCAGCTCAACCTATCTTTTGAGGTCAGAAGGTGAATTTTTTTTAGGTGATCAACATAATTGTCAATATTTGCGTATTCCTTAGGCAAAGTGTGCAAATCATTTTTAATTGGTAATATTTAATAATTTCCACACGTTTTACCTGTTTATTTCACTAAAACTTGCACTTTTCACAAAAACACACTTCACTTTCCTAACAACCAGCAAATTAGTGATGCCTACACTGCCATTTCTAAACCGGGCAAAAATGTTTTTATTTTGTGTCCTTAGTAAAAAATTCGATAATTATCATTGCTAAAATTTAAATGCATGTATATTTTATAAATGTGCAAAAACCTTTAATTTTTTTTTATTGACCAAAAATAAACTTTTTGGCTTTTAATGGTGCATTTATTCTGAACTTTTAAAATAAAAGAAAATATAAAGCTTAAGAATAGGGGTCTACTTACCGAATTTAGAAATAAGTATTCCATCCATACACATACATACATATTTTCCTGAGTCAATGGCGTAAATATATATCAATCGATATTTTCCTTAGAACACAAATATAAAGAATACTAAATACTTTATATTGATAAAATTATGATTTGACTTTAATTAAAGCCGCAAACTGAAAAAATTCGTACGATTTATGTATGGAATATTTTTTGCTGTCGAAAATCCAAGTTTGACAAGAGATTACGGAAATTTATTGCAATATATAATACAATGAAAAGAGTTTTCGTTCAAATATTTTTCCCTTTTTGCCTTGTGTTATAATCAAGTTGGCATTACTGTTAAAAATGGATGCGTAGATTTTTGTGAATAGTTTTCACAAACTTTGTGAATGCATTCATCCATTTTGTGAGCGTATTCAGAAAGTTTGAGAACACGTACATAAACTTTATGAAAATTATTCGTAAGGATTGTAGAAAAAGTTTATGAATTATGCTTCACAAATTCCTTGAACGGTATCATAAGTCTTATGAATTTTTTCATACGTTTTACGTATAGTATTCCTAAATTTTATGAACTATTTAATATATTCAATGAAAATATTTAATGAGGTTCGTAGGAAAAGTTTATGACTTATTATTCAGAAATGTTGTGCACATTTTTCATAGTTTTATTGAATAGTGTTCTAAGGTTATGTGAACTTTTTCGTAAAATTTGTTAAAAGTATTCAAGAAAATGGTAAAACAAGGTTTAAGAACGATTGTTCATAAATCTTGCAAGCATATTCATAATCCTTGTGAATTGTTTCATAATTTCTTTGAATAGTTTTAGAATACTTTGTGAACGTTTTCATAAGCTTTACGAAAACCATTCATAACAATTGAGAGTATACCTCAAGAATGATAATTCACAAACTTTTTGAATAAGTTCAGAAGCTTTATTAAAAGCCTCATTAGTCTTATGTATTTCTTCATACGTCTATTGAATAATTTTAGTAAAATTGATGAATGCGCTGCATAAAAGGTTTGTGAACGCTGTTCATGAAAATTTTATGAATTATTTTTATCCGTGTACAGAACACAAATTTTTAACCAGATAACCTTATAACCAAGCAAGTGTGAACCACATAATTGTTAAAAACAGGTACTCAGGCGTTTTAAAGTATTATCTGTTACTTACACTCATAATTTTGCTTTGAATAAAAGTGTACTGAAATGTACTGACTTTTTTAGCATGAAAGAGCCTAACGTACTGATTTCGCGCATAAAAATTCTGGCAACCCTACACACAAGTATTATTACAAAAGCTTGGCCAAACGCCCAGCAAGGGCTGAAGGCACTATTAAATATTATTTTAACAAATTTCAGATATACTTATGTATCTATTACGAGTATAAAAAAGAATGGGTATCAATATTCATTCTTCCAGAACTCTGCCTGACACAGAAAAAACTCTTTCACTAGTTGCTGAGCTAGCTGGTATGTTTAAAATTTGCCTTGAAAGACTTCTAAGAAGCTTTCTCCCAAAATTTTAAAACATCGTCACAACTTTTCTTTTCCGATTTTTCCAAATAAATCTGTATTTTCGTATTAATTTTTTCAAAAACTGTTTCTGTAGATTCATTTATTGCATCTTTTAATTTGTCAAAAGTTGCACGGGTTTTTGCCCTATTCGAGGTAGAAGGAATGTCATCATACAGAATTTGGAAATCGTGCTGAGGGCGAGCGCTTTTTTCTTCAAGTAAATTTTTACCTAAGTTATCTTCAAGCATTGTCTTTACTGTCCCTATTATATGTTCGCGCTGTTCTGCAGATAAAAACTATGACTTTTTAAACGTAGGATTTAAAAACAATCTCAGAAATTGGACTGAACTTCGTTGGAATCGTTTATTTAAAGCTTCAGCTGTGTTTTTCTTCAAATCGATAATGAGTTCAGAATCAGATGCATTCGCCTAACAATGCTGTTGTAGTTTTTTGTACCATTGAACGTGCTCATGGATGGTTGGATTTAAATCCGCGTTCAAATTTTCAGAACACATCTTGAAAGGGGCCAGATATTCTAACAATTTTTCCAATAAATTTGATTTCACTCTAGATAGTTTATGAAGCTCATTTCTTTCTATTAATAATTGTTGAACTGCTTGCCGCATTTTGTGAATGATGGACAACATTATAAATAAGGACTTCCACCGTGTCTTAACTTGTTACTTTAAAGACTTTGATAGTTTGTTATTGAGTTCGGTATGTTTAAAATAGCCTACAAGCTTTTCTGAAGCGTCTATCCATTCATACTCTTCCACAAGAAATTCATGTTTGAATGGAAAAAGTGCAAACGCCGTCAGAAAAAAAAAATTATTAAAAATCAATGCGATTTTATAGCCGCTCAAAACTTGCACTCATTTCAATAGAATTTTATAAGCTTGTTGCGCACCCAACAAATTTCTAAAAATTCTGGTTAAGAAACTCGAAATTTAGATTAAAAAGTTTTAAAATGTGATTTATATAGTTTTTGTTAAGGCATGAACCATATTTTTAAAAACAATATCAAAAATATTATAGCTTGAAAAACATTGTAAATATTAAAAACTGAACACCATTCATCCCGCCACTGTCCACACATATGTGAAAATTACGTGATTGACGAAAATCTAAAGAGCGAAATACACCACACAAGCGGCTTGTCAAATATTCTTCAAACCTACTTTTCCCATTTCGCCATACACCATGCAAACATGACTCGTTCAAGCAAAGAATTTTAGTTTTCTTCCAGTTCGCAATGCTAAATATTATGGTTTTCTTTCATTTTCCTCTCTTACGTCCTTACTCGGTGAAAATTTCGTTGCGAATGAGGCGATTTTGCTATACACAACGCAAGCGGTTTGATCAAACATCAACATGGCGGCCAGAAAATCAAAAAATTTTGATTTTTTGCTCAAATTTCCCTCAAGCGGCTTGTCAAACCTTCAAGCACCCCCATACACAGCACAAATGGCTTGAAGCAAAGGGAAATTTCGCTTGGTTTGTCAAACCGCTTGTGTGGTGTATTTCGCTCTTAACTCTCGCACGCAAAAATTTCATTCACGCACGATCATGGATATTACGTGATTTTTCACTGGAAGCAGCTCACGCTCACGCGTCAAAAAGCGTGACACGACGTGTCACGTAGAAAATCACGTATTTTGCCCAACTCGAACTCAGACTGTAAATAAGTTTTTCGATTATATTTGACTGAGAGCCTCTTGAAGGTTAAAAACTAAATTGCCCACATCTACATAAACTCTTTCTTTTTTTCATCAGAATCGTTAACGGTTGAGAAAGTATCTTGAAGGTTTACAACAAAATATAATATTTCCTTCTTTAACGGCGGTTTCACGCGGGTTTTTATCAAGACTGGGCCAGAGCCCAATATTTTTCATCCCACGATTGGGCTACCAGTTATAACAAATTTTATGTTACTAATATGTGTTCTAAGAGTCAAGCAAATCTGATTATAAATACGATTCTTTAGGATAGCTCTCAATCCCTGCGCTACCTATTGGAAGACAAACACACTCATCCTTCTAAAAAATTTTGCACATAACAACAATCATTCAATGCGATTTTAAATCTAGGAGAAAATGGTTCCCAATTTAATGATTCTTGCGATTTTATATGTGTATAATTGTAGGTGTATAAAATTCCATTACCTTATAATAAGTGGTTCCAAAGATAACCGATATGAGAATTTCTGTTTGCATGGGCGGTGCCACGCCCCCTTTTCCAAAATCGACCACTCTTCGCCATAAGTACGGTATTGACAACATATGTTGCTGTGCCAATTTTCGGGACTTTAGCGAATTTTTTTTAGTTTCACTTTTATTTCAACATATTTTGATTAAAAGAAAAATACTGATAAAAATAAAATTTTTCATAAAAACAGGGTTGTAATATTGAAATTCCTGCCCGTATTTTGTTTGTAAGTCAAATATGAGTGGCATTGTGCTACTATGATAGCAAGTTATGTACAGTAGTCGAAATAATTATAGCCGCACCAAATTTTGACAAGTTTTAAAATATTATTCTTGTTGTTATTTAATCTCGGTTAGTTTTTTATAGTTCGTTCTTTACCAACATCAGTATAAATACAAGTTTAAAGGCAGTGTCTCACGATGGGGTATTTGCCAAAATTTGGTGCAAATCGTATTCCAATTGTGTGAACACCCAAAATATTTTTCTTTATCCCAATCACGAATTTTAATTTATTGAAATTTTTCAATAGAACATCGCTGTATTGTACCAATCTCTTGACTACATGGGAACATTTTTTTTTACCTCAATATAAAAATTAACATATCTGTACAAATATACCAATCGAGTGACACTGCCTCAAAAATTTATGCAATTTAAAAAAAGAATTCAACAAATTTTCGTTAAAATTTCGAGTTTTTTAATTAAATTCTGAGTATGCAGTTTTGTAGCCCATTGAATTCTAGTAGGATAAAGAACAGGTTTCAAAGGGCTAAAAATTTCGATTGATTTTTTAGAATTTTTAAAATGTTCGAAATTTGTACGAAAGTTTGTTGAATTTTTTTTAATATTGCACACATGAGTAGTCCACTTGCACACAGCATTATGTGATTTCATAATAGTAATCTATAAATTAAAAAAACGTCTACAATAACAAGTAACATCCAAATTGTTTATTTTTCTTTGTCTATTTCCAATTTGTCAGAACACCTATATCCCCCCCTAAATACGGCCTTGGTAT